CTTTTTATCTTTTTTTTGGATGACTATTGCAGTGTTAGCTAAATGCTGCTTCTCYGGTAAAGGATAAAGCATGAAATGTAAGATTTGGAGCACACACACACATGTGATACAGATTATCCAGTGCCTTTCCCTCCACTCATGGTGTCAGCATTGCCAAATGCTGCGTGAACTATTACAGATTTTTGAATGGTAATTTTACAAATATTCCTGAACAAGCCCTACACTGGGCAGTGCAAGGAGATCTGTGGGAATGCAGTGTTAGATATTGAAGATTAAAAGCGAAGACTAAATTTTTCCCTGGCTATGCAGAGAAATACTTCTGTAATCAATAAACTGTAAAGTCATGAATGATAGTTCAGCTCATACGAATGGAAATTTCAAACATAACATAGTAGTTGCAAAGCTGTTTGTTGTAGAAATTATTCATGAACAGTCTACCCCACTGCTACCAAAAGCATACCAGAGGATGCTATAATTTATAGATCTTTTCCAGTTTAAATGTGTTGGCAAACAGCGGTCTCCTTCATGTGTGGTTTATAACAATTTTTATAAATGTTTACCAGTCACTTTCATTGTTAATGATCGTCACCAGGTACAGTGGACCGAAAAAGAGAAACTGTGGTGCCCTAACCACTAATTTGGCAAAGGCTTTATATTTTATGAAGCATTAAAGTATTTCTGTGCTGTAATTTTTCAGATCAATAGTGAAAAATGCTACTGTTTAATGCCATGAAAAATAATCGCAATTATACTTAAAGCAAATGTAGCAGAAGATTCTTCTAACAGAAGCTCTATGCTGAGCTAAACTCYGCTAACCTTATCTTCCACACTTCAGAAGGCAGCTTGGGTTTTGTGCTCTAGCAATCCCATTTTACTGGTCAACACAGAATTTTAATTAAACATAGCTTACAGGCTGCATCTCAAATGAAAAAATGAAATTAGAGCATACCCTTACATGGAGTTTATACCGATTATGGTGCTCAAAGGTAATTTTTATATTTCTTTTCTTCTGAACTCATGACTATTTTATGATGTTAGATAATTAGTGTTTCAATCCGTGCATTAAAAATGGGTTCTTCATACTATGTCCAATTCATTAAATTTTTACAGACTTTTACACTAGAAAATGGGATTTGCCATTTGCATTCTCAATAGTTGTGCCAGTTCATAAATACAGTTATGCATCATTACTTTAGGAAAACATGGACCAATAGGTTAATAATAAATCCTCAAATTAGTTCACATTTTCATTACTGTATAACGCAAAACATATCCACTGAATCCATATACTTCAAAACATATATTTACATATAGTCTATACCTTTAAATTCAAGCAAAAAAACCTACCTTTTTCTATTCTATAATTTGAAAAAGCCWATACACTTTTGGAAAGGGACTCAGACATTTCTGCATGTGTCTATGTGTGTCTGTGCACATTTTTAAATATGCATGAAATTTACTGGTACCTGCTTCACTTTCTGTTTCAGGGATTTTAATTTTAGATAGCCAGATATGAAAGCAATATTGTATAATGAATTGATTAAATGAAGAAAATCTTGCAAGACTATGTTAGAATAAAATGTGTCTATAATGCTGAGACAAATATTTTAATTCTTYGTCATAGAGATAGGCAAAAACGTGTCTTTTTATATAGCAAACTATGAAGAAGAGGCTTATTTATCATGCAAGCCCTGGAAATAAAACCTGTTGTGGGATTAGTATCGGATCCCATAATCTTCTCTGAGGATGTCCACGCTTCTGAGGGAACCTCTGTAGGACTTTCTGTACTCAGTCTCTTAAGGATTTTACTAAAGTTGTGGAAAGAGTGATACCAGCATATTCAGCAACATGAATATGAGCCAGCAACTTGCTCTTGTGGCAAAGCAGGCCAACAGTCTCCTGGTCTGCGTTAAGCCCAGGAGTGATGCCAGCAGGATTTTTCCCCTGCTCAGCACTGGTGAGGCCCCATCTGGAGTGCCAGGGTCCGTGCCAGGCTCCCCAGTACGAGACATGGACATTATGGACCAAGTCCAGCAAAAGGCAACAAACGTTATGAAGGATCTGGAGCATCTCTCGTACAGAGAGACACTGAGAGAATTGGGACTGTTCAGCCTGAAGAGGTGAAGGCTCCAGAGCAATCCTGTCAGTGTGTGTATATATCTGAATGGAAGGGATAAAACTGGGCACCAGGAGTCTCCTCATGGGTGCCCAGTGACAGGAGGCAATGGGCACAAACTGAAATATGGGAAATTCTGTAAACATAAGAAGAAACTTCTGTACTATGAACATGGTGGAGCACTGGAACAGGTTGCCCAGAGAGAGGTTGTGGAGTCTCCATCCTTGGAGATATTCAAAACCCAACTGGATGCTGAGCTGGGCAATTTGCTTGAGCAGAGGGAGAGGGCCAGATGATCTCCAGAGCGCCCTGCCAACCTCAGGCATTCTGTGATTCTGTGAATGGTTTAAATAAATCTATTATTTGTGCCTATGAAGCTACAATAATAAAACAACCTTGGTGAACACATAAGGCATTTTTCCAATTCACAGTGCAGACTTGTGCTGATTTATTTCACAAAAACCTGAATGCTCACAATATTCTGAGTATCAAATTTAGAAAGCCCTTGAGCTTTAAGTTAGAAATTTCTCGAGTTCCTCATCTGTCAGTCTTTGGTCGAGGATTTTATCTTTCGTTGCTGTATTCGAGTGAGCTGAGCAGTAACCTCTTCTAAGGGCAACATGACATGAATGCAGTAGTAGTCTAAGCAGGYTCACTCAAGAAAAGATCAGTGTTTGCTATTTTAGTTGCATTTAAAAGAAATGTAACAAAAAGAGATAAAGCTGCTTCTTGCATTGTTTCTTACCTTTTTAATTTCCCTATTGTTACTCAGGCTTTATTTTCCTATTTTCCTTTCGTCACATGTCAATTATTGCCTACTTACATCATCACTGAAAAAAGAAATCAAATCATAGGAGCTCTTCTTCATGGCCAGTTTAATGACATTATTCAGTATGAGCTGTTAGTTCTTTTCTGTCTAATTCTATATTCTCTCTTTCTCCAAAAAAGCTTCTTTAAAAATATGAGTTTGCAAAGGGAAAAAATTCTGAGACAAGGTATTCCAGAATCCAGTTTCCTCACAGAACCTCCGTACCACTCCCTGTGTATTGTTACATAGTCAGTAACTGCACAGAATTCCCTATGTGTGTGTGATGGGAAGGCATCTGCTTTTGTGAATCAATCAAAGCTCCCATCAAAGGCATCTCATCAGGCACTGCAGTTTGTACTGCTTTTATTTGGGTCACCTGAGATACTTGTCACACTTGTGTGGTGCCCATTAATCAAAAGAGGAAGTTCTCTTGGTGGTATGATGACATTTGAGTGTTAGATATGAGCAGTAAAAAATTATATTGATATATGTGGGTTCATGTATATAGGCGTGCAGGTACATGTACGGATTGATTTTGAGATTGTGCTATTCATGTATTTAGAATTTACTTTTATAATACCTTCTCTCTTCCTGTATAAGAGATGATATTTGTAAATTTAATTGTTTTTATATAATTTAAGTAAATTAAATTACTTTTAAGGCCAGAAAGTACCACAGTATCTTATTTTGATTCATATTTCCGTGTAAAACAAGCATATGAAACATGTAAAATATAAAACTCACTCTATCACCAAATCCTGATTTTATGGCATTTCAATGCAGTGAGCATGCAAGTGGTTGGAAGAGGAGGTTTGTTCCTGGCTCCAATGCTCTCTCTGGGTTGATACATATAATATAGATACCTACCTGCACCTAAATTATAGCCTGTAATAGTCTACAGGCCAATACCTGGCCCCTTAGGTATTAGGTATATATGCAGGCCTCTTAGGCAGCCTACAGTCAGGAGGAAATAAAAAGAAAACTTGTCATCTAGTACCTCCTGACATTAAAGATACATCAAACTTACTAGCTTTGAGGGTGATCTACATCGAGCTTAACCCAGGCATTAACATCCAGGCGTTACATCAAGCTTAACTCCCCAGCCTGGGCAGTCTGGAGGAGGCAGTGGATTGAGCTGCTCTTCTTCTGCCAAAGCTCCATCAGGAGGTAGCGAGAAGGCATCTCTCTCCACAGCATCCCAAGCGTGTCCCAAGGAGTCAGGCTGCAGTCTGCTCTGCCCATTGCGAGCATGTGCATATTGCTGAGCACACTTACAGTAGGTGACTCACAGGGCAGGTTACCTCTAGCACAGGTTATGGTGCCCCATTTGCACACTCACCTGGTGGATAGACCATTCGTCCACCAAACCTCAGATACAGGCTGTAGTTCTGCTAAAGATTGAGGAAGTTTGAACCTATATATTCACTGCATGTCTCATAAGAGATTAATGTACCACTGTACAGCCAGTACAGGGTGTATGGGCCCACGAGAGGCACTGAACAAGAGGGAGACTCTGATTTTGCAGGACAGCAGTTGAGAATCACACCTAGGAAAAAAAACCAACAACATTGGTTCAACCCCAGCTGCACGAGCTGATAATGTGTTTGTGCATCTTAACTTTTTCCATTGACTGACTATGGAGAGGCACTGATGCCTAACTGAGCAGTCTGGCCCAAAGTACTGGGCAAGACACCTAATTTTCAAACATAACAAAATGTTGTGTACCTACTTGGAAAAATGTGTACCTATTTGGAAAAACAGAATAACCTCACTTCCTTTGGCATATCTGATAATGCTGCTCTTGTTGGCTGCCCCAGCTGTTGGAACAATAAAGCACTTCAACTAAATGTATTGTTCTAGAGACTGAGATCTGTGTTTGCATGCCAGTTTTCAAGTTACTATTAGTTGTTGCTGCCAAGGTATGTGTCTGAAAATTGGCATTTGCTTTGATCATTGTATCTAACTTCAGCATACAATTGTTTCCTTTAACACCCAGCAAAGATCTATTCGTGTATTATTATAAATCTTAGCATTCTGTGCTGCATTTACTGAGAGAGATAACTCTTTCTTTTTCAGAGCTTCCATATGGCTGGGAGAAAATTGATGATCCCATTTATGGCACTTATTATGTTGAGTAAGTTCCCAAGTTCAATATTAACTTGTTGTTACTGTGTCATAACCTAATATTAGTATTCTCTGCAGTACTAAGAATGGGAAGACATGAATGCCATTACTTGTGCAGTAAGACTGAAGGTGTACAGGAATTCTCAATCATCAATACACATTTCATGTGTCTCAAATCGTTTAGTCATTCTGTTTCTTCAAGACCTAATTTCATGGTAACATTTCAGCAGATACTTGTAGGAAGATCATATTCATTAAAGAAAAGTTGTTGTCTTTTCTGTATAAGGTTTTGGATATCCAATGAGGTACAGGTCTTATTAATCAATGGACAGAACAAAGCATAATCGTGTTAGCTCACTTAAGATCCTTTTCTGGATAGTCCTTCCTTGCTTCAAATCAGACATTCACAGTTCCTGTCACAAGGCAGGTTACARGTTGTTTTATTTTATACCTAAGAGTACACCCAAAACTTATGAGAGAACACAAATTTCTAGTTTCACAGCACAATCCTTGCTTTTGTTTCCTCACACTATATTCTGTTCATGAAACAAGCAAGTCTCCATTCTTACTCACCTATACAAGGGACAATAATAAGAGTGTCTGAAGTAACAAACCTGGCTTTAGCTAGATCCTAGAGAAAACCAATAAATCAGACAAWTTGCTGCTCTTTTTTAGCTTTGCACTGTCGATGAGACTTATGCAAAGTGAATCTACATTCAAAGCTATGTTCCTGTTCAGAGGATCTCACTCTGCTCTTACATTAATGATAACCCAAAGTATTTAGCAGACGATAGGGAAAAGCCACTGTGCATACAGCGCTTTCAAAAACCACTTGTCCTGACAAAGATCTATCCATTATTCCATTTATTAAAGAAGGGAGAGGTTGGTTCCTATGCTAGAATCTCCATTTCAAAGCCTGGCAACAAGCAGTACGTTAACTCTAGCTGTTTCATACAGAATATAGAATTTTAGTTTGTGCGTCACACTGTTCCCTGGTTACCTTTATCCCATGAATCCATATCAACATTTAGACTGCAGGCTCCTTCTGCACAGATAGGAGGTTTGCTACCTGGGGATATGCTGCCGTGAACTTGGGCAGGGTACAGCTCAATAAGAGACATCATGAAACGATCTAATTTCTGGAGTGTTAGGTAATGTATCCGTAAGGTTCCCCTTTCTTCACAGCTATAACTGCAGCAGCTTGTGGATGCCCATGCGCTTTCCCCAGCCTTCCTACAAGGCAAACAAACAAATGGAAGCAGTGTTTGGCCACTGTCCTGCTGAGTCCTTCTGTCCCATTCTCCAAGTGCAGTAGCAGCCGCCCTACCTCTCTTTTCCCAGCTTGTTCCCTGCCCTCCCCTGACAGAGCCAGCAGCTCCATCTGCTTTGCTCATTGGTGCAGGACAGGTCAGTCAGTGCAGATTCCAGTTTGTCTCAAGCAGAAAGGTAAGTTTTTGACATCCAAAAGTAGCGCCATTAAATTAGCCTCTCTCTTTACACTTGAGTTCTTCCATGATGTCCCTGAGTAGATAGGGGTGGAGATCACCTACCTCGTTGTCGTTAATCCTTCTGAAAATTTCCTCACATACAATTGTGCAGCTGCTGGGTTGGAGTTAGAGGCTTCTGCACCAGTGGTTTTTAGTGTGTTTGGGTGAGTAGCAGGTGTTGTGCAATTTCCATGCATTAGTCTCTGCCCACTTTATTGCCAGCACAGCCCAAAGCATTTTGGCAGGGGTGAGGTTCACATTATGCATTCAGAAAAGGAGCGAGTATTTATCTCCATTTCATGTCCATCCTCAGGTAGACAGGAACAAGGCTCCTGGCCCACATGATGCTATGCAGTTACATTATTTAAGGCTGTTATTGCCAAGCTCAGGCATCCTATCATAGATAAGGTTTGTAGAAAGAAGTATTAAGAAGTATTAGAGGTTTTATAAGTGGAATAGATGTTCATAGGCTGGTATGAAAACTTGGACAGCACTAGGTTCCTAAGGAGTTTTATAGCCAGGAAAACATATCCATACTTTAATTTGCTGTCTGAGGTGAGTATGTGATACAAAAATTGCTTTACATTCTTTCATTGCAAAAAGTGAGTTAGGCCATTTTTATTACAMGTATTCAACAGATGAGTTCATTTTTAGCTACATAAAATCAGATTACAATGCACTATCTTAATTATCTCATAAAAGTGGGTAAATCATGAAAAGTTAGGTTATGAACTTTCACACATTGAAGTCCAAACCAACTTTATATGCTGGCCCTTAAAACTGCCAGTGAAAGAATGACTCCTACTCTAATTGCTGAAATATTTACATCTCTTGGGAAGTTTGCAAGGATGAGCAATGGTCTCAGGTTCAGGTTGACCCTACAAAGGCCATGGCCAGCTCCAATATACTGAGATCAAAAGACACACTTAAAGATAAAACTAAAGAGTTGTTATCAAAGCTAAGGAACAGTAATCACAGAGTATTTTAAAATTCATTTCAAATGTTTTAATTATGCATGAATATACATGTGAGAGATCATTAAAATTTTGATTTCCCTTGTTATGCAGGTCCAGGTTTCATTTGTAAGATATAGACGTTTGACATAAATGAGAAGTGCTTGCTATACATGGTTTAACTTTCACGCAATTTTGTCCTAATTTATAAACTAGGAACAAGCACCATTTCGCTGTGCAGGGCAAGGGAGAGAACACAGTTATTAAAGTGCATTCTCAGCATTCTAATTGCTGAAAGATTATTTCTCCCTTTAAGGATGATTAAGTACAACACACAGCTCAATTTCTGGACATGGTCTCTTTAATAGAACAGCTAAATTGACCGTACAGGTATTTATTGTCAAAAAAATTTACTTCCTTATGATTTCTGACAAGGCTGTGTTCCTGCTCAAATAGAAAACCTTCTCTCAGGAGGTCTTTTTGTCTTTATTATATATTTGTAACTGAGAATGAAAAAAGGACTTAGACAGTAACTCATCTGCAGCAATTTGTCTGATTTAGCCATGGAGCTGTATAGCAYGATGCAGAGTTTCTTCTTGTCTCACTGGATTGTCTAATTCTCAGGTCAGTGTTTGTTATGTATTTACAGTCTTGGTCATAAATTCAGTGCAAGTGACTTATAAAAACAACCAGTTTTATGTATATTTTTCTTCTCTTTGACTCCTTTGGTCCACATATTTAATGAAGTTGTTTGAATTTGTTGGCGTTCTTACATTGCTTTAGAGACGTCACACTACCATAAAGGAGCCAAAAATATGGGAATAAATTGGAGCTAAGAATTATTGGTGTTGCATCAACACCCTGAGGAGTCTTGAATACCTCTGCTAGTCTTCCTGTCTCATCTCACCAGGGCAGAAAGACCATTATCTGAGACATTTCTGTCTAAGCAGATTAAAGCACAACTTAAACTCGACCTAGAAATGACTGAAAAGAAGCTTATTGATATTCAGTGAGCCATGGACACAACCTATATTGTCTAAAACCATATTCTTTTACCACAGAACCATAAATAAATTGTAACATAGGTCTACAASAAGCSCTCTGTGACCCTAAGACATGCCTTGCATCTACATCATGACATAAAGCATAGTTCAAGGAACTAAACTTARGTATGATCAATTAGTTATCAATTATATCTGCACAGTAGGACACAAAAGCAATGGAAAATCCATGCTGTTCTCAAAGTGCAACTGAACACTTGCTGTTGTCTAGGGCAAGGACACTTTAGAGCCTCTAAAATATCATCTGATTCCTGTGTTTAGACCACTAACTCCACCCACTGTGTTGCAATGCTGTTTTTAAATTTATCAAATGTCAGCATAAAGACAACTAGATAGTTTACCCAACTGATACTGGAAGCTCTTTCAAGATCTTACACTYCTGCTTTTAAGAAGCCTTCTGATTTCAAGCCCAGATTTATTCCTGCCCAGATTTTAGATGTTTATTCTTTTACCTACCCTGCCAGCTCTAATATGTCCTAGTATTTACTTCTGAACATATTCAAATAATGCAATTATATAACACCATTAGAATCATAGAATCATAGAATCATAGAATGCCGAAGGTTGGAAGGGACCTCAGAGGTCATCGAGTCCAACCCCCCTGCTCAC